ACATATATATATAAAAAATATATTTATAAATATATATTATGTTTATATACATGATAGGTTTTCTGTATATAAATATAGAAAAAATATGTACAAATACATCAAATCTAGCACTGCCTCTTATTTTTGTTGTACTAATTGTGCTAAAGAGCAGTACAAACTTGTTTCATTCAGTCAGCCAGCAGCTGTGACTCTTGCTTCTTATGTGGGATGGGTACAAGGACTGATGGTTATCTTAAATGTAGTCACTGATTAATGTAGAAATAGTGCTGCATTCAGAATATAAAAGGCTATTGTCAAGAAGATATATTTCTATTAATATGAAATACTTCTAACTAATTAAAAGGTAGTCTTTTCCTTCTAAAGTTGGTTGCTGTTAATTGGAGTTTTCTTATTGCTACACTTGCACAGACAGTATAATTAGGAGCATTGTGTGGCTGATATCAATACCTGTTGTATTATTTACCAATTAAAGAAACATGCACTTGAATCTTCTACCATTTCACTAAGAGTTCTTAAAAGGCACTAGCTGCTCTCGTGCACATCTTAGTATTATGAGGGGAGTCTGAGTTTTAAACAGCATCTTGAGGTGATGGCTACTTTTGCCAAAACAAGAACAGAATTTATTTTTTGTTGCTTTTGTTCTTTGAAAGTGGATTGTTGGGGAGGCAAAGTGATGAGAGTAAGAGTGCTGTCAAATTTGGGAGAAGCATGTTGTAGCATCTCAATTTCTGGATAGCTGTCGTTGAAATGGTTTAGTTCTTGATATCTTAAATTAAGTTACAAAAGCAGATGATGCTGTTCTGTTATTATGATGCTTGCTTCAGAACTTGCACTGGTGATAGAATCAGAAGAGATAACAAGTTTAAGGTCTGGCTGAAGTGTTGGTTGAAATATAACATGCACTGTGTCATACAAGCTGACCGACTGTGAGAGAATCCCAGGTATCGGTAGAGGCAGGTAAAGGGAATTCTTGGCTTTCCTGTCAGGTTGTTAATAAGACTTAAAATATTTCTTTACAGGTTATAAACACAGGCTTTCTCTCTTCTTTTTTGGCTAGGCTTCTAAATACCTTTTTGAAGTTGCAATCAAAACTAATTGTCCCAACATCTAAACACTGGTTGGTTTGTTTTTTTTTTTCTTTCTAGGCTCTGTTGAAATAACCGAAGCAAACCTTGTAAGAGATGTTTTGTATGTCTTCCAGGGAATAGATGGCAAAAACATCAAAATGTGCAATTCTGAAAATTGCTATAAAGTGGAGGGAAAGGTACTGTATGGTGACTTGTATTTCGTAGGTGAGCAGAGACATATGTACGGGAAAAATAGCTGGGAAAAATAGCCATGAAAAATATGTTAAAAAAAAAAAAAGTACGTTAAAATATTATCACAAGTCTTTACTCCCCCCCCCAGTTGGTTTGTTTTTTGGGTTTTTTATTATTATTATTATTTAGTACAACAGAGTAGTTTCAACAGTAGTAATTTAAAATTGATTGGGTAGATTAGGTCCCAGAAAGAAACTGTAGCATTTCACAAGATGTGAATAGACTCCCAACTATAAGCCAGTACAAAGACTCCAAAGTTATGGCTTAATTTGAGGATTTTTGTCATCATTTTCCCTCCCCAGTGTATAAGAATGAATATAAAGCAGGTGCAGTCTTTTGACCACATTATAATTGGATTAAATTTAACAGCCTGAGATGTGGAATGGATGCTAGCCACTTGATGTTATGGGCTTGATTATAACTTATAAGTGATCAGATGGGATCATGCAGATCACCCAAGAAAGGACTGGTGATAGAACTGAAGGGAGTGCTTTCCACTCCTGTTGTTGCTAGAACATCCAGCTCATGTGAATTTGAAGGAAGGTGTCAAACAGGAGACAGAGGAACAGGAGAGAAGCCTGAGAGAGAGAAGATCTGGCTTTAAGGTGGTGAGATCTTAAGCGTATTTGTGATGTGGAAGAAAAAAACAAGGGTGAGATTGGGTCAGCTGAGCAAAGAAAAGAAAAATGGTGCTGGTTGCTTTAGCATCTTCTCTTTATTCAGTATTTAGGCAGTACTGCTTCACATTTCAGTTTCAGCTCGCTAATTGGCTTTCATGTTCTTCAAATGGAAAGACAGTGCTTCTGATTTCCACTTGTATTAAGAACTTTATACTATAACAATATGACATAGTCCTAAAATGGCGGGGAATTGATTTTTGGGCCATTTCATGTGCCAAGAGCACAGTAGACTTATCTTAATATTGATGATAACTGAACTAATTTTCTTTTCTCTTCCATAATAATAGCAAAAAGTGAAATGTATAATTGTTCCCTCTGTAACTTTACAATGACATTTAGGGCTGCTTAGTGGAGGAAAAAATTAAAGACTTTAAATCCATTAAATCTTGTTAATAAACAGATTCTTAAGGATGTCATCTTCTGCACCTGTAGATACTGCAAAGTTTGTAATTCCTCAACACCTGCACTGCGTTAATTATGTTCCATATATGAGTTAGATTATATATGGCAAAGGAAGTAGCATAATAGATTTTTCTAGAGGAATGTGGGGAAAACTTAGTGGGTGTTTGCAAAATTGGCACCGTGGGTTTCGTTAGTTTTCTGTGTAGTTTTCATATCAAATAGGCTAGTTTGAGCTGAAAAACTGTTTTAGTTTGAACTCCTAATTCTGTTAATACAGGGAGTTTGATTATTCAGATGGTTTGTGGTCAATAATGCTTTTTCCTGAGGACTTCGTGTCTTCCACTATTCTTGTGAAGTCAGTTGTCTTCCATACTTCTTCCTTATTGGCACTTGTACTGAGCTACTGGACCCAGTGAAGATGGAATTATTTGCCTGACTAGAGCTGCAGCTGGAGCTTTTTCTGATGAACAAGGAGGACCAAGATCATACCTCCTTTAGCTGTGTTGACTGCCTGTTAGGCAAAAATGTAGTCAAAGCATGTAGTTTTCCTTCAGCTGCACAAAGAAAATGTCATTTTACACAGTCTGTTTCTTCCAGAAAGAAACACATTTTCCAAGCTGTTATTCTTGCCTGAATGTTTTCTAATATCAGTGTTAATATTAGGTCTGTTGGTGACATTCAGCACTGTATAAGCTAGCAGCTTCTGATTTGATCTAAGAGGTATAAATGTAATAACACTAAGCCAATTTTGCTTGTTCCTCATTTGATTCCAGGAGATGTGTATTGTACTTAATACTTGCCAAGCACTCCATAGTTGTAGAATTCTAAATAGTTCTTATGTCATCTCTTTGGTTTTAGCTGCAGACAGAATTTCTAACTGTGTCCAATCATGTTTGTTTGGGCTGTAATTTATCCTATAGAAGTTGTTCAAGAAGTTAAAGCTGTGCCTGTATATCTAAGCAAGAGGGCCAGGGACTGAACTCTGGTCTTACAACCAAGTGCTGCTGCCTGGTTCAAGCCCACACTACTGTAGCTAACAGGTTCTTGTAGCTGATTTTTATCTTAGAGAATGCCTGTACTGCTAATTAAAAGGCTTAATGGGTGAGCTTGATCTCTAGTTCTTTAGTGATCCATTCAGCTTGTTAGTGCGCGTCCTTGCTTTAGTTTGGACTGTTCCAGCTGGCTCTCCAAGTTAAAATTGTCTGTAGAGGTGGGATAGGCCCAATCATTGTGGGCAAAAGTAAATCTCTGCCTCTTGACCTAATGGGTCAGTCATATTGTTTGTTTTTATTTATCCAATAAAATTTTGAAAACTGGATGATGGTGTTCTTGGGTAATGTGACAAAATGTGGTAGAAGCAAATCTCAAGTAGGAACAAGAGGAACAGTGTCTTATGTCTTGGTAATTTAAAGGAAGAAATGTGCTGACTCAGTTGAAAATAGTAGTTAGTAGTTAAATAGGGTGTTGGGACTAAGGCAGGCTTGCAGAGTGAAGTAAAGAAGCAAGTATTGGCACAGATTTGACTTAAATTGCAAGTTATTGTTTCTGTTAACTTTATAGGTGAGCTTGTCCAAATCTCTCAGAGATACTACAAGTAGACTTGCAGAGTTGGGATGGCTACATAACAAAATAAGAAAATACACAGACCAGAGGAGTTTGGATCGTGCGTTTGGACTTGTGGGACAGGTAGGTCAGCTGAAAAATTGATTTTGCTACAATGTTTTGGTCTTGTTTCCCTTAGAAACTTCTGAGTAAAATGCAGTACTAGAATGAATTGTAAACTTCAGAGCCTGGATCATTCATCCTTTGATATACTCCTTTTATGGACTGCCACTTTTGGTATGGATCATAGTCTGAAGGCAAGGGAAAGGCATTTGCTCTTGCTGTTCGTAAGAAGGAGTTGCCCTTGTCATTTGTAACTGGAAAGTCTCATGCATAGATTCCTTTTCTTAATCTCCTTTTTTTTTAAAATTCATATTTTTTTAAGTGCTCATGCATGTTTATAAACACAAATATTGCTTAAATGGGATGGTGGCATCTGAGCTAATTAATCACCAATTCAGTTGTTACGTTGACCTATGCAGGAGACACTCTTGTCGGCTAATGTTGATGTTCATGTATTAATACTGCACTAACTTACATAAAATGCAAATACCCCATTATCCTCTGCCCTTTCGTTTGAATACAGCATCAAAAGAATGTTAATTTTTGTTTTTATAGGTTTCATCATCATGATTTGTAGTCTACAGTAACTTCACAGCTGCTGTAATACCCAAAACCACATTTACTGCTAAGGCATTCCCGTTTCCTCTCACTTGCTCCCTCTGTAAAACTGGATATTATCCCTTCTGAGTCGACAGAAATGTTATCCTTGCCTCTAGCCATAACATCCTACCTAATCTGCCAAGAAATTGAAGTGCTTCTCCCTTCAATCTAATTTTTCTTAAGAGGTCAGTAGAGACACTGTAGTGCTTCCTACTTTTCTAATGTTTTATTCTGTTCCCTTCTGTCTCTTATTTCTAGTAACCCTTTTAGTTACATATAAATAATTATTTTTCTAGTGATCCAATGCTGATTTCCATGTTTTATATGGTAGTGCTACTGTATATGCTTTTTCTTCAGACTCTCCCCCTTATATCTGGGCAAAGTTTCGTATTCTTTATCTAGCAGCTTCCTGCCTATGCTTATTTGTACTGTCTCTGGCTTTTAATCTTCAAGTTTACAGCAAGGGGAGAACTTTAATTCTTCTGTGAATTTAAATGTGCAATATCTTAGCTACCATATGCAGGTTTCAGATCCTGTGCAAAAGGCTGTGCAGTTAGTTAGCTGAATCTGCATAGCTCTAATGCTGTTAATTTTGCTTGAGGCAAGGACGTATATATATATTTCTAGGACATAAGTGTACAAATGAAAACATATGTTCTACTCCTGCTGTCAGTATCTGGGCAAAAAGAGTATGTACCATTGCTTTTCATGGCTTTTATAGCTGACAATTTCAGGTGCTGCACACTGTGCATTAAGAATTTAGCATAAGAATATATTGTGCATTCTAAAGCATCTTTTACTTAATGTTTTAAAAGAATGCTTGTGTAAACCCCTGTTTAAACCACATGTAGGATAAGATGTCTGTCACCTCTTTTATATGATTCTGGTGACTGTTTTTACCATGCAAAGTGTCAAGTATTGACAATTATTAGGAGTAGAGATATAACAATATACTGCACTTTAACATTATCTTCTTCTACCTTTGCTGCTTAGTATCTAAGTTCTACTTTGTCCTCAGAAAGCAAAAGGAATAATCAGCAATGAAATATAACTTGCCTTATATTTTGACATTTTGCCCATTTAGACCCAGTTGAGGTAGTGGGCATTTTAATTTTTTTCTCTTGAACAAGCATTCTGTTTCCTTCCTGAATTCTCTTTTGCTGTAGACCAAATCAGAATTCTAGGATAATGTCCAGTTTTCCGTAACAGTTTGGGAAATAAAAATCTGTAGTTTATAATGCAGGAATTGGCACTGGATGTAAATTTTAACTTCTAAAGCTTCTCTGAAAAGTTGATGGCCAGTTAGATCCTAAATCCTCTTGGCTACTAAAGTCAGTGATTACTGTTCTCACTTTTTGAATAGATGTATAGTGCCTTTGAACGTTTTCTTGGAGGCTCTAGTCTGCCCTCTATCTTGGCAAGTGCTACTTCAACAGGTTCAAAAATGTACTGAAGAAGCAAGTGAGAAGAAATGAAAAGTGGGGTTACACATAAGGGGATTTCTTTTTGCCCTTCAGTATCCTCTGGAATAAAATGAATTTCAAATTTCTTTCCAATTTATAATGTTGAGTTGAAGAAAGGAACCCTCTTTACTTATAAAGGATACAATGGCAAGATTAATGATTTTTTTTTTTTTTCTAGGCTTCTTAGCCTCTTAGCAGAAAGAAGATTTATTTCCGCCTTGTGCTTGTAGTAATGATTTCTCCCTTGTACATACTCTAGTTAATAAATATTTTACTTTAAGCTATTGAGTTCTTTTTGTGTGAGGTTTTCCTTATTTTTTCCAAATTACTTTGTGATGATTTTAAAAAGGGTTGAGGGGGGGAAAGTCCCAGGGAATTTCCTATTAAAAATCCATTAAAATATATATAAAACTAATTAGCTGAGAATCCGTTAAGAAATCAGTTCTGAAGAATTTGTGTGTGTGCATGGAAGTACTCTTCAAAAAACCAACCAAACAAAAATTTTAAACCCCCCCCCCCAAGTGCTCCAAGTCCAAAATTTTCAACTCAGTCCAAAATTAATAAGTCCAATTTCTAATTCTGTTTTAGCAAATGTGTTGTGGGAATTTTTTTAGTCTGTATGTTAGGTTAAGAACATTACAAAAACAAAGCAAAACCCCAGGACCTCAAACCATGGAAAACTATCCGTTAATAAACAAGTATTCTTTCAGGAATTGTTTTTAAAATCTACCTTTATTTATTTATTTCAAACAACCCAAAGTAGCTGTGGTTAGAATTGTTTTACAAAGAGGAATCTTTGCTTTAGTTCAGGCCTGTTAAATTCTGCACATTTTACAGATTTCTTAGGATGTACTTAGTGTTATTTATTTCTTCCATGTCAAATGAAGAATTGTATATGACTGTCAATTGTTAAAAGGCCAAAAATTTAGAGTACTTATCTAGCAGCACTTACTGGGAGTATTCTTTTCTGAGCCTTGTGTTTTCTTGTTCATGTCATATAGTCTATACTGTAAGTATGATGTTTGCCTAGCTTGTGTGTTCTGTTATT